ATGCGATTGTTTGATATTGATACAACTGATAGAGGCTCGTCCTTTTTGGCTGAACTTTACATCAATTCATCTTTCTTCTTCTTCTTCTTTCCTCCTGGAGAGAAAAGGAAGAAAGATAACTGATGCAAAAGTTTAACCAAAAAGGACAAGCCTTAAGCGGGGAGCACAGACTCTTGTAAAACGCATAAATGCATGTAATGCATAAGGAAATGTACCAACCGAAGTCCTTCATTTCCTTCTTTTCTATGAAATGTAGAAGTCTGATTGGTTCAATTTCTTATGCCTCATGTTTTATGCGTTATGCAAAAGTCTGTGCTTCCCGCTTTAATGGCCATTTTACAATAAGCCATTAGTCATAAATCAGAAGTTAAAAACTGGTAATTGACCAATCACAGTCGTCAATTACCAATTTCTAACTTCTGATTTATGACTAATACTTATTGTAGAATACATGTAAAGGCTTAAACAAAACAGGCACAGGCAACAGGGAATAACGAGCCGTCCAATCAGATCTCTGGTGTATAAGTTCGATATTATATCCCAGAGTTCTAATTGGATGACTGTTGCTTGTGCCATTGTGTTTAAGTCTTAACACGCATTCTACAATAAGGTCTGTTCTACAATCGTATACATCGTATATCGGCGTCGGAAATCGAACGCATGCGTATTCGGTTGTTGTGTGGAAAGAAACAATTGACAACCATGATTGATTAATTTCTTATTAATTTCCGGCAAGGCACAACGTCTCCCGACTGATTGTAGATTAGGGCTTCGTTCGGAAACACTCACTGGTGTACCACTAATACACACTAGCCGTTCGGAAATACTCGTGTGTACTAATGTGAGATTGTTCGGAAACATCGAGAGAGTCACATCAAGTGCCACTAAACCACCCGTGCGAAAAGCAAGGGAAATCGGTGTGAACCGGTATGTAATGGCCACAGCACAGACTTATATAACGCATAATGCATAGTGTATAAGAGAATCAACTAATCGAAATTCTTCTTTTACTTCTTGGAATGGGAGAAAAGGACAATTACATCGTGTTCTTAGGTCAAAAAATTTTGAGCAGTTATATTAATCTAGAAAATTTGTCTAAGTTTTATTATTTTTTTATTTATTTTTATTCTAATTTTTTTTTTCATATTGCTCTGCCTTTAATCATATTTTACGCACATTATACAATAGATTATTTGTACAAATATTGTAAAATTGTATGTGTCCAGTACTATTTAGAACAAAACTAATTGTTCTAAGATCGACAATAAGCCTCGCAGGAACTAATAAATCTTTAGACGATGAAGCAACATCCAGCATCTAAAGTTTTATATCACTGATGTCAATTTTCTTTAAGGATTTACAATAATAAGACCTGCTACAATCAGAATATGGTTAGTTGTCAAACCTGTTATGCTAATTGTACAATGAGTTGCTAATCGGAAGTCTTAGGCGGTAAAGTTGACCAATAGCCAACTTGTAAAACTAACGCTGATCAATCAAATTCATCGATTAAGATTAATAGGTCTTCTACAATGAACCATAAGTTATAAATCAGAAGTCAGAAACTTGACTACTGTGATTGGTTCGTTTCTAACTTATGACTTATAATTTATGATCTATGGCTTATTGTAGGTTGCCCATAAGACTATCGACTCATTGTAGAATCAGCATTACATCAACTTGAATTTTTATGATAAAAAATTTTACCATTGTCTAAAGTCGATACAGCAACATATAATTACTCGGTAGGATAGTAGAATGTTTAATAGGCGCCAGTAATCGTGGAAAGAATGACTTATATTCCTTCCTTTTTACAATCATATACCGCCGTCGTTCCTCTACAATCATTCCACTTTTCTTCACCGGTGAATTGTTTAGCTCGAGGTTAGGGTTAAACATGAGCGGAGAAGTGGAATTGAGATGACACACACGCCACACGGAAGTCGTTCGACAACATTCATCACCCAAAGGCACACGATACCCTACTATTTCTCCATCGAAACACACCAACAAGTGATATTTCCGAACACAGCCTAGACCTAAATAAAAAATAAACAATTTTTGTCTTTTGCAGTTTTTCTATAAAGTTGATAGTATTTGAGTAAAAATGATTGAAGACCAATTTTCGGCAATTTTTATCAATTAATATCTTGTTAATTGCGAAAATTGCAAAACAGTAGAGGACTTTTCTTCTCAATTTAGTCCATTCTGCTCTTATGTGAAAAATTTATCATTATTTTCCAGACACCCTATATATAGTCAGCTTGGTAGCTTGTAAAAGTCTATAGTAACGTAAATTATAGATTAATATTAGAACTACAATTAGTAGTACAAGGAATAATTATTATGAAATAAAAATTTCAAAACGAAACCGTGAGTAATCAATACGCATAAAGGATCATATTAGCAAATGCCATGCTATTGTTTAAATTTGCATAACTTAATATATATATATATATATA